TCTGAACAACAAAGTATTTAATCATAATGCTTCTGATCAATTGAGTCAACTCCTGAGTGCGTCAGGCAAAACAAGAACTTTCATGTGGGTCCAAAGCAAGGTCATTAAACAAACAAAGTACGTCCTCTTGAGGAAGTTATGACAGGCGTCACAATTTGGAAACTCCACACAACCGCTCAAACCTAAATAACTTCGGAATTCGAATTCATACATTAAATACTTACATAAACGAAAAATTAAATCATACTAAACTGACCAACTAACTGACTTACTAACTATAAACAAACTAAACACCTTGAACTTGAAGAAAAATGTCGGTCAAGAAATGTTGAAGTGTCACAACAATTAGCCAATTGACATGTCCCATTCTTTATTCGCGATTGATATGAACTTGATAAAATTTATGAAAACATAATACATTTAACTAAACTTCCTAAAAAAACTTTCCCAGTATCAAAACAAACCAAGGGCCTGTTTACATGGAGGTGGGGGACCCCAGGTAGGTGAGGTAAGCCGCCTAGCCGTGGTCGAAGAATAAAACGCGTTTACATACAATTGACTTAATACATTATCAAGAATAGCTTGAAACATGGTCGATTTACAACGCAAAATATTCCGAAATGTGAACATTTTATACTCCTTGTGTGTCCGTTGCGTTTTTTGGTGATTTCTGCCATGAGACGGCCAGGAGATGTACAAAGTTTTAAAACATACGTGTTTCGCTTTAGAGCTTTTTGCCATGAAAGCGACCCCGGTTAGGCGGGTTACCCCATCTTGAGACGTTTACACGGCAAATTGTCATCCCGGCTGACAGGGTTATCCTACAGCAGACCGGACAACCCGCCGAAGCGGGTCACCCCGCCTATCATGCAAACGTGATCAAGGTGAAATAAGAAGTTATATGGACAGGCGGGTTACCCCACCTACCTGGGGTCCCCCACCTCCATGTAAACAGGCCTTAAATTTACGAAAATGACTTTTGGTTGTGCAGGAATAGCAAAACCATTAGTTAACAACAGAGTAATTGAAATTCAGCGCTAATCCCTATAACTCGAATCTTGCTAACTCAAACCATTTCTCATTTCCCTTTGGAGTTCGAGTTAGGGAGATGTCATGTGAAGTGACAGTGATGATATCCAGACACTCTCATTCAAAGTGTATCCACCGATGATTTGGCCTCGAGCATGATTGTTTTAACAGTGACTAATCCCGGTCTTAAATTCCCCCTCATGGTCTAAATAAAATCAGCTGGTGATGTACGCTCTCCGGGGTGTTTAGGAAAAAGATTCGTGATTTTTCTATCCACTCAAAGATACAAAAAAATTAGAACAGCGACATCAGAATACCGCTATTTGAGGAGGGCCGACCGGAAAGTTACATTGTTAACCAGGGGATAAAAATCATCACCAAGTATAGCAAAACTTCTGCCAAATGCAGTTGTCAACCTTAAAGGTAGAAAAAAAATGCCTCTTCCTTGATCAACCTGAACTGGTTTAAAAACTGGGAGAAAATTAAAGCAGTCTTGAATTGCGTATACGATGGGGTCCTTCATTGCATTGTTTGGAGGATTGGATAGCGTTGGTTGCTGGTCAGTATTGCAAAGGAAGAAAAAAGGCAACATAGTTGAAAACGTTTGTCTTTTGCAGTATCACGTGAACAGGAACGATAGATGAGTTGTTGATTTACAGATAAAGGGGCGTGGTAATTCCCATTCCACAAGCAGCATGCCATTCTATCCCTTAAAAAGAGTATGCTCACGTCAATGGAGAAAAGCATACAGAAGAAAGGATCACAAGGCGTTTACAACGATTTGAGAAAGCAGGCTAATAAGGTTTTTGGAGCCCTCTCTGTTCCGAGTTGCCTCGAGGAAAGCAGCAGATATACAATGCAAAGGCCAGGATAAGTAGTTCCATCACAGAAGATGAGGTGCAAGGCCTTCTGAAGTATGCACGTGACAAAGAAGAGCTTGTCGTTAACCATTCAGACTATCTCAAAGATGTTTGGGCGTTAGGAACTGCAAATATGTGCGCGGATTTGGCAAAGTTTACAACTTCAGATCTGCGTAGTAATACCGAGAACAAATAAGATAGAAAACAGTTTGATCAGTTAAATTTGGAAACTACACAATAAAGTTTCAGTGTCTTACTATGAGCCTTTATCGATATCATTGTCTTTTTGGGGTTGCTAAAGCGTTCAAGTGAAGGGCTTTGTTTTGTAGTATGAGCCAGCTCGATAACCCGATCGATAACGTGTATTTCATAGTATCTCAGAGCGACGTTTTGTGAGTTAGCCGTCTTCCCATGTTGTTTTCCATGACTTTTCCTTGAGTTTTCGGTTTGGGGTGCTCGGTCTTCCTTTTGTAGACACCCATGATTATTTTTTTAAAAACGCTTTTTCAGTAAGAATATTGATAGCCATCTAATGACACAGGATGAGGCGTACAGTGGGAGACGTGGAGTTGATTGATACTTTTCATTATTACGAAAATCCTGAACAAAGCAGGCAAATGAACCCTCTAAGTTCGTTTCCTCGTTCAAGGATTTTATAAATCATGTGCTCAAACAACATAGAACTGACTTCGAACATTCTAACCTTTAAACCTATAAAAAATATTAAACAAAAGAACCATCATATTTCCGGTTCTAAGGGGCCAACGCTTGCAACTAAGAATCGACAATATCATGCTCTTAATGTGTGACATGAAAGTCACATTCTTCTTAAGAGGGCGTTAGGAGGTTGGAAGCTATTAAATATGTTTAGATTCTTTGTTCATACAGTTCAAATCAACAGGGTGTAGTTGCGTGTGTTGAGGCTGTTGAAATCTCTTAATATTCAGAAGCAGAGGTTCTCTGTAACTGTTTTTACCTCCGTTTCGTTCCGAGGGTGCATGTGATTTGTTAAGCGGAGAGCTAAAGGTCAACTCAGTGTTAGTCTCCTCAAAATTATTGCATTATTACCTTTGCGACAGCAGGGTGTGTGTACTGTCTTAAAATCTCATTGAAACCAAGGTTACATTTAGAGAACTGTTGAAGAGGGCAAATATTAGGTCGTGTGGATTGATACGTTAAAATTCGTCTGACGTCGTTCTCGAGACGGAAATGTTTAAATTAATGTATTTCTCTTCCGATGCAACAGAGTTTCCTTCATTATTATTGTTGACCAACTTAACTGGCACAAATGTACACATAAAATGTATGGTTCAGGAATCGGAGTCTATAGTCGTATTCTGTTATTTTTCTTCTTTAGCAAAAAGATTACCATTAACAATCCTAGGCGCCCTTCCCCAACCTCCTCCCCATCTCTTTGCCTGGTTCACGATTAGAAACCGCATCTTGATTCGCCCAACACTTAAGGTCTTTTCTACCTGCTTAAACTTATCAATGATCTTTTCATTGATTTATAGATGAAAATCAACTATTCAGATCATTTTTGTTTCAAGAATCACTATTCGTCCATCACCTTCATGGCTTTTATTTTGCTGTTTTCACTGGGTTCTTTGTTTCTACCTAGCACAGGTAAGAAGTAAAGCAGAGGTAAGAAGCAAGAACTTATCCTATTGTTTGATGCAGATTATAATAAACTAAGAATGTTAAAAACCTAAAACCTTGTATTTATAGGAACTTTCGTAAACTTACCTTGACTAATACGGTTTTATGGAACACAACCATTCTTCTGTAAGTCACCGTCAAATACAGTATCATTTGACCGTGAGACTGAAACTGTGCTAACAGGAATCTTTTTTTTTATGGCTACAATTTTAAAATGCATGTAACTGGTCAGAATACTCACATGATTTCATATATTCACATATACATTTATTCATCACTTCAAGGGTTTATTGCCTACAAACTATAGACATGATTTGTTGATCTTAAACCTAAACTTTAATTTACAAAAACAGGACGATCTCTCAATTGGGGTAGTTTTACATTGCGTGTACATTGTGGAGAACATAACGAAATCTTTCTACAGCTTCTCACTTAGTCTACCAAAAGCTAAAAGGCGAGTGGCAAAGTAAATTCGACCACCATCTTCATGAACGTTTTGAAAAAACATCTGGCTACTCAGAATATCATAAACAAACATGACACTACCGTCTCTCGGTAACATTTCAGCTATGTTCATCATTCTGAACGATGGAAACGTACGTTTGATCTGAACCCCTCAGGACCTTTTTGGTTGAAACTTGCATTTGTATCTAGAAATTTCTAACATTCTACCCTGAATATCTTTTAAAAATATTAAACAAAAGAACCATTATATTTCCGGTTCTAAGGGGCCAACGCTTGCAACTAAGAATCGACAATATCATGCTCTTAATGTGTGACATGAAAGTCACATTCTTCTCTAGTGGGCGTTAGGAGGTTGGAAGCTATTGAATATGTTTAGATTCTTTGTTCATACAGTTCAAATCAACAGGGTGTAGTTGCGTGTATTGAGGCTGTTGAAATCTCTTAATATTCAGAAGCAAAGGTTTTTTGGTAGAAAAAAAAACATGAACATAACTGAAAAACACAGATCTCGGAAAGTACAACAAACGAACCTGCCCACACTTGCGCACCTCTATTCCCCAAATATAACATGACTAAATTATGAAGGTGACCTCGTCGCTCTCAAATTTCAACTTTTTTTTATCAAACCAGAAATAAAAGTTACAAGTTCGACCATTTCTTCAAAAAGTAAAACATCCTTTTTCATTCAAAGTTCTTCCTTCTGTACTACTTCCTCCTCTTCTTCCTTTTCTTCTTCAGATTCATCCAAGAGGGGTCTTTTTTGAAAAGTCGATTTAATAGGAAGTTTCTTCTCTCAATGGCTGACTTTAACGCCTCGTCAAAATCCGCATTGTCCTCATTCATAAAGCATCAGACAGTTTGCATGACTTGTCTGTGTATTTCATCCCGTTTAATACGATTATTCCACCTCAGACGTTGCAAGTATATCCTTCTTAATATAGGTCTAGCTCCAGGTAAGATGGAATTGAAAGCAGCATTCTCGGAGAACTAATCGGACTTTCCCTGTAGTCGATGGAGTTGAACTTGTTCATCGAAGAGTTCACTCAAAGATTCTTGCACTTGATCAGTCAATTCTACCCATGGATTAACATCAGCATAGTTGTCATCATTGCCGTGGTCTTCGTCAGCATCATCATAATTACCCATCTGTACGTCTTTTGTCTCGGAGTCACCACCACTATCATTCTCCAACGCATCATGGCTGTCTTCCTCTTCTCCTGCCTTTTTTTGTCATAGTCCTCGATTGGGTTACCAAAGATATCTTTGTCGTGCGAACTATCGGTCATGATGGTCATTCAATAAAACAAAAGTTTCTCGTACGATGTGTGCGTGGCGGTGGTTGTTCTGATACAATCGTATACATCCTTCATGTGTCAAAATGTGACTGAACATGCGCCGATTGTCATTACTGGCAGGATATAAATCTAAGGTCAGATATCTATGGGGGCGTTGATTAACTTTCAGGTACACTTCCATAATATCTTGCCACTACATAGGAAATGCTTACAATAATAAATTCTTGAGGGTGCTTGAGAGGGACACGTAATGGGCATTCCTTGAAATACTTTTAGCATATTTGCGTAGTGGAAACATGTCTTGAAACAAATTGATGACGGTGACGTTGTGATGATGATTTTTGGTAAAACGATCCAGCACTTCTTTATTGTTCCCTCCTTCGGTCATCAGAACATCCAAGGCCAGAAAACCACCTTCTTTAGGGAACAATTTTTTCAACTGTCCTTGTTCAGGTACGCTTTCGTGAAACTTAAAACCTTCTTCTTGCATCTCACGAAAACCATCTTGCAATGCGCCATAGCAGTAATGAATCACGTTCGCAGGGTTTACAAACAATTCGTCTAAATGGTCCAGGACTAACGACTTGCTTAAACAAGTCTTGCCACACCCAGAGGGTCCCATTACTAAAATGCTTCAAGGTGTCTTGAATCGGAAAGCATCACTTATTTCTATTCTCTCGCATAGAATAGGTCTCATTTGGCTGAAGATTTCAGAATCTTTCGCTAGAGATTGAGGGATGTTCACTGTTGGAGACGTCTCATGGCTTTCGTTATCCCTTGGGTTCAAACATGAATATTCCTCGTAACGGTTTCAGTTGTCTGAACGGCTGAATGGTGTCTAACAGTGACGAAGGTGTGACATTATCAACTCACTCCTTACAGAGCTTTGGGGAATAAAAGAAGCACAGTGCACTACCTCGTTACATGCAGAAAGTAATGAAAGTGTGAGTGCCTCTTCCTCTCATTCACTTTGAGCAGGAGGAGAGTTTTTTCTCGTTTCCTCCGGCTTTGGTCTCGCATCCATAAGCAGAGGCGATCTTGATTCCTTTGACGATAGTCTTTCATCCATTCACAAATATGATCTCGATTCTTTTGACAATAGGCTTTCATCCTTTCACGATGATTTTGCTCTGGATATTCTCTGGGTTTTTTTTTTTTGAAAGGCTATCTCTATTTTATTGGTTGTAATCTTTTTGTTTATTAACGATAGCGTCTTTTTTTTTGGAGGTAATAGTCTTTGCAGTATTCCTTATGTGTCCTTTTTCCTTTTGGTAATATTGTTTACAATAGGCCAGGTGACTCTCTCGCGTCCTTAAGTAACGTTCATGCAAACTGTCATTGTTTTTCTCGTAATAGTTTCAATAATGCTCTCCTGCTTAACTCTTGTCTCTTCCTCTATGGCAAGCAGTTTTATTACCACATCCTCCATGGCAGGTGGTTCTGTTACCATATCTTCCATGTCTTTCGTTCGTGGTTTATTACGTGGAGGTAATGCAACAAATGAACATAGGTCAGTGAACAACATTCTTTTATCCGTTTATCTGTCACAATTTTTACCATGATGGAGATCTCTGGCTTGACCGAAAAAACCCCTGAGGAGGAGAATTGTATTATTGAGAAGGAGGAGTAGTTGGTTTAAACCTTTGGCTTAAACCTATGGAGTCGGTTTAAGCCGATGGCTTAAACCTATGATGAGGACGAGAAGTGTGAGAAGGAGGAGAGGAAGGCGGAGGAAGAGCTAAATTGAAAATTGTGAGGTTTTTGACGTATAAAACATAATGAATGTTTTAAAACAGATTTACATTTACTACACATGCGCATTTTCTAAAAACACTCCCGCATGGATCACAATTTCCCTCTTAGACTCATACTTACGCATATATTAAGGATGATGTCATCATAACTACATTAACGATCAATAAGTGTCAGTTGTTGTGAGGTGAGAGCTCTATTATTCTTTGGTCTCTCAGGGATCAAATACCGTGCTGTGATTAGTTAGTACAAAAGAAGAACTAAGTAATATTTTATATCACTCACGAAGGCCTCAGCTTATTAAGCACGAGGATAACCCTAAAGAACCACTGTTTGAAAAGGTCACTGCTGACTTTACATTGGGAACCTGAAGATACATCACAATACTTGAAAATACGGATAGTTTTTTACCTCATAGGCCACATTTGGGTTTTTCAAATGAGCTATGAAATACTTATTACAACTGTAAGCTTACTGCAAGAGGCTGGTTCCTTTCTTGTTAGGGGTAATTTAATCTCTCCATTGCCATCTCTCAGTTCTATGGTGAGGAATGCCGGTTTTATTGTTTTTTTTCTTATTTCAGTGTAGGACTTATATTATGCGATTTGATTTGTAACAATACTTTTTTCTATGATGCCTTCGGTCATTAATACTTTTCCTTTTTTCAAAGCATTTTTAGAGGCCGGAGTTTCAAGCTATCTCGAGAACGCAATGTCTCACATGCCTGAGGCCGGCTGGAATCTTGTCAAACCATGGGCTACGGAGAAACGGAAGGGCTTCTTTGCGGGCGATGCCGCAGGAGGAAAAATATATCAGGACAGATTTGTTACACCCGAACAGGGAATATACTTTATTGCACTAAATTTACAACTGACAAATGTAACTACTGGCATCTTAAAAGCAAGTCTGGTAATTAATGACGAGTTTGAAAAAAAAAACGGATTCGAAGGTTTTGTTGGAAAGACCACGTCAACAGAAACCGTAAGTATGTCTGGATTTTTGCTTCTTTATGAGAACGACGTCATAGCTTGCTACCTTAGTGGCTCAGCGGGAATCCTGTTGTCTGACAGCACCTTTTCAGTGATGAAGATGTCACGAATAGGTTCTGTCCCAGGTTTTCACGCTGTATTATCACGTGACCAAGTTATTGAGCCTCACACCACCAGCCGACTTAACTACTGGAGAACCAGTGGGTCCAAAGGTTTATTTGTGATGCAGAGCGGCACTTCACCTTCTGTTGGACTATATTGCTCAATTGTTGATGGAATTCACAAATTTACATCAAACATAAACCTCGAATCCAAAACCCAATCGACGAGCGTGGATGTAAGTATTGTTTTAAACTCAAATACTACTTTGGTGAAGAGGTACTCGTCCGGAACAAATAGATATTCCACTAGTGTGTCCGGAATGTTTAACTTGACACGCGGAGATTGTGTTGAGATGAGGATTGAGTGTACCGATGAGGGACTCCCTGTAGTCTTAACAGGCACTAGTTTTTCAGGCCTTTTTCTTGATCGACAAATGGAGACTAATCGGCAATTCTCCGGAAGTTTACCTTCCCACAATCAATTGCAAATGAGTCCTGGATGGAATAAGGTACAAAACTGGATCGTTAACTATTCAAAAAGGAACTTTCCATCACTAGAGACGATTCTGAAAAACAATCATAGCAAGTTCATGCCGGACACTAGTGGAGTGTTCATTGTGGTAGCTGTCATGAATATAAATGCCTCAACAGAAAGTCAGAGTGACTTACGATTGCTTGTCTCAGTCACTGAGCCTTCATCTGGTAACAGCGGACTATTGGCGGCATATTCATTCTCTTCAAGTCTCAGGTCATTAATTGTCAGCGGTCTTGTTTCGCTTAACAAAGGTGATTCATTAAGTGTTTACGTTTATGGCGATTCTCGTGAAAGCGATATGGTGGATGGACTGTTTTGTGTTTCTGCTGTTCCCTACGACTGGCCAGGTGTTGCAGCTTCACTTACAGAAGCCATTCCTCTGAATTTCCCAGAATGGACGAAAATTACTGAATGGAAAACTAACGGTGTTCCTGGGTTGTTCTCCTTCGACAATGCATTCTTTCCAACCAAAGGAGTTTATCGGCCACATCAAGATGGATCGTACTTTGTGTCCTGCAATGTAATTTTTGCAGGTGAAGGCAAGGGGTATTTGTCAGCTATAATTGCTATCGACGACTCATTAGATCCCAGAAATGGACTTTACGCATTAGATGAAAATCCTAAAAGACTGGTCACCCTTAATATGGCTGGTTCCATAGAACTTAGAAAAGGTCAAAATGTCTCGGTGTACGTCAAAACTACAGCATCGTCATCCTGGAACGTTTCTATTGAAACAGGCTTTTCAGTGGTGTTAATTGGAGCAGATTCTCTTGCTACCCCAGGAATCTTAGCAGGTAAGGCTAATTATACCTGTATGTATCTACACGCGCCTGATTTACAACATACATCACAGTGATTACATTTACATGCGTTACATCACATCACCTTCCTTTACTACATTCTACCTCATAAACACTCAGTAATCTTCCTGATTGAAGGCATCTGATTAGTTCGCGTTGTCATGTATGTGGCGGATGATTGGTGATCCTGAGGCATGAAACAAAATTGGTAGTATTAACTTGCATTGGATATTTAGGCTGATCCAAAAACCACGAAGAGTGTAACAAAATTTGGTCTAAAATACTTTACTGGTAAGAACATTTTTCATATCAGGGAAGGTGCAGTTTCGAAATAAAATAATGCTTTCATGATGATCATCGGAAATGCATGTAATCTTTATAGTGTTTGCACCTGCAATTTTTCTCCAATTCGAGTAATTCACTCAGCAGTCTGCTTTGCCGATGGAGAGGAATTTCGTATGTACCTTTTTTGAACGATGAAATTAAACAAATTTCTGAGCGGTATACGGCCCAAAGAAGACGATTTAAGCTATGGCAGTTGGGCAATCGCTAACGCAATCGGAGGTGGCACTGACAGACAACAAGGCAGAATATTAAAAGCCCTTATCTAATCCTTGACTCGGGTCTTACCATCGTCAAGATCTTGTCATGCTTAGGATCAATGTAGTTTTTATTTCCCTGTTACTACTAACTACTTTGGATTCGCTATAACTTTTTGAAACTAACTATCTGTAAGAGGTTGAGAGGAAATTTCTTTTGGTATGTTCCCTCTCTCAATATCGCTAATAGTCGCGGAACATTTAAATAAAGGCACATCTTACTACTGGTCACCTCGATTTCAAAGGATAATTGATAATTTTAACGTATGGGAACTACTAAACTTGAACTGTTCTGGTTAAATGTTTGGGAATTATTTAGGCCAGTTAGATTATCATGAAATCCTTGTGCGAGTCTTGGTTTGTTATGTGCTTCAAGATTCAAGACAATACATTTATTTTTACCCTTTGAGTTAGGTGTCTTTGACTGTCAAAGTAGGGCCTTAATTCTCGTTCGATGATCGTCATCACTAATCGTGTTTGGGTTTTGTCCTTGACCTTGCTTAGAGTTCTCAATGGGAAGTTTTGTTTAGGTTTTAGTGCTTGAAGATTTGTTTTACTAGTACTTTGCATTTATTTTATCACCTAAATTCATGTCATTCATGAGTTCAAATCTTAAATATTTTTTCTCGAACCTTTCGATTGATAGTAAGTAAATAAGTAAGTAAGTAACAACTTTATTTAAAGAAAGTGGGGAATCTCCATCTATTCCTCAAACCTACTCTTTTCACTATGTAAACTCGAATACCCGGTTGACATTGTTCATCCTCTCTCTTTAGTTAAACAAGAGGAAGCCAGCGAAATTTTCACTGGCGGGGAAATTGGCGAATGGAAACTCATCCAACAAGTGTCTGACCCTTTTTTCCTGAGAAATTCTCGATTTGACTCAGCTACAGGCAGGTTCAAGGCTAAAGAAGATGGTCTTTACCTCATCAGTGCAATAATGTTAATACTTCACTCAGGATTATCTCAAATCAGAATGGCCTTTGTAGCAGACGGACAGTCCATTAATGTAACAACCTTTCAGTCAAATTCTTTAAATTCAAAAAGTGGTGCCTTTGTCAGCACGCTGACGCTATCCAGTACAGTACACCTTTATCCAAATCAGAAAGTTTCGACATTTATCGACTTACTTGGCCAAAACAGTTTCTCGTGTAAAGTACTGCCAAACAGTAGTTTTTCCGCCGTTTTAGTTTCTCGATGGGAAAGTGATTACACTGCCGGATTTTTGGCAACCGCAATCTATGACGCATTTGGGCAGACGGGATATAAGAAAGTCGCCGACTGGAAATCTGTGCCGTCAGTTTCTAAAAAGTACAAGATAACGCCTTCCACTTCAATAAATATCAAGAACAGTGGCTTATATTTTCTGCAGAGCGTTTTAATTATAGAAGATTATGAGGGTGACAAGGCTTTTGATAGTGGAGTTTGTATCAATGGGATAATTGCTCATAATGGCATCTCGGCGTCGAAACTCAGTGACGTACAGAAGAGTGGCAAATTTGTCATTAGTGCATTTGGAGTGATATTCCTGAGAAAAGGACAGAATATTAGCCCATGCATAAAATCTAAGAAAAGATCTCCTTTCGCCACCATAAAAGATTCGTGGTTTTCGATAGTGCGTTTTCTTCCGCGTCGTCAAACTCCAGGTTTTCATCAAATTCTCGAGGATGGCAATAATAAAAAAGTGTTCCCGGGATGCTCAGTAACAGGATTTATGTCAAGGGGTGGAGGCCAACTGGCCTACATAAATGGCGACATATACAAACCAAATCCGACATCACCGAATGATAAAGGAAACTTCACTGCACCTGTGAAAGGTACTTACTTGATATCTCTCTTGTTCACTCTAAATGGAAACCTCACTGCAAATGTCACTGCGTGTGTTGGAAGTCAAAAGTCTGCAGGGTGTCTCGTTAAAATTTATGACACTTGGAGAAAAAGAAACTACACCTTTGGGTTCGTTGGACTGATTGACCTAGAAAAGAACGAAATAATTTCAGTCTGTCTTCAGCCTAAAACTGAGATATCGTCTCTAATAGGAGTCACGATATCCGTTGAATTTCGAGGTCAAGCTAACACAACTGTTCAACTAAAGCATATCTCCGACTGGTCAAGTTCTACAGGATGGCAAGAGTTAACTCAGTGGAGAACTCGTGGTGGATACTCCGTAGATAAACTTTACGTGATGGAAAGTGGGCTATATATTCTCTCAATTAATTTGCAGATAAAAGCAGGCGAAAGAAGCCTCTTTGGAGTGAAGTTTGATGCTAGAGGATTGTCAAATCGCAGTGTTTTATCTGTTTTAGCACACTCCGAAGGAGACGCTATTGTGTCATATAGTGCTGCTGTCGTTGCTCGTCTGAATGAATCTGAAACGATGGCTGCTTCTGTTTACTCCGATTCGCAATCATTACTTGTAACAAACACCACAATGTTTGCTGCATTGGTAACTTCAAATGACAAATACTCCTGCTTAACACTGCGATCGAAAACAAGCCATTACATCAGTGGAACATGGTGGAAAGCTATCGGAGATTGGGAAAACTTTGATGAAAAGTGCAAGTCTTCGAACTCAGATTTCATAAAAGGAATATTTGTTGCTGAACTACCGGGTATTTACTTCCTGGCTACCACAGTTGTCGTGAAGACGTCACATTTATCAAATCAAACAAGGTAATTTGATCTTTCCACTAATTTTCTATAGTGTGCTTTCGAGGAGTAAGATTTTCCGTGTGCATTTCTTTAAAGCAGCTGCGAAAGAAGATGGGGTGCAAATGATCCACAAATTGAAACGCAAATGATGCGGGACCGAAAATGATCTCAGAGGAAAAAAAGGCAAATTATCCCATTGAAAAAACCGGAATGACATGGAGTTTGGGGTGGCGTGTTACTGTGGCACATCAACTATTCGTAGTTTCCTTCATTTTTAACTACTTTAGTAAATAACTATCGCAACGAACAAAAGCGTAGAAAATGCAGTCAGCAAATACAAGTATTAAGCCGATAGAAGATTTAAAACAAACGTCCTTCTTTAGCAAAAAATGGATTCAAATTCACATCGTGACAAAACTCTATTGGCCATGGTCTTGAAATCATACTGAAAATGGGTATGGGGCGAAAACAGACCCCAGAGACTGGTGAAAAGACGATTCAAAGGAAGCTTAGGAAAATTACATTTTCTAATGATTTTGAGAGCTACTTTTGATTCTCGACGTCGAATCCTCAACCCTTGACTAAAAAACAAAAAGCTATCAACTGAGACATTTTCGGCTCTTAGCAGACCTTTTTTAACGCATGTGTAATTCACCCATGGTGCTGCTATATCTATATAAATACGTTTTACTTCCGCAAAAACTTTATTTCTCTCTCTTTATCTTTATAGATATAGAGAATTTAATTCAGCGTACGATGTATAACAGATAGCAATATGTAAAACTTATGGAAAATATCATTGCCACAGGCTTTTTCAACACGATCATTTTCGAGCAGTACAGTTTACCCTTTCGCCGCCGTAAATTGGACATTGCACGATTTTTGAAGGCCTTGTGTACTTGTCGCTGGGTATCTTTGATAGCGTTAATTGTTATTAATCTCCGTTCGCGTCTTTCATTTTCTGGTAGACAGCGTTTATGACGCTTTGAAACTATTTCCCCCAGAGTCGATTGTATAAAAATGCTGGCATATCGTTTTCGTATGGATGGATCCAAACGAAGGTTTCCGTGTAAGATGTCGTGACTTAGGCGGCTAAGCATAATTGAGGGCCAAGATTTCAAACTGACAAACTGATCTTTTTCATTATAGGTCGAAATATGTCCGGTCATGAACATTTAGAAATTTAGTTTCGTTTCGGCCTCTCTTTTAAAAATGATGTACACTTGCCAAATAAATCCTCATAAAAGCATGCTAGCTTGTACTTACAACTGGTTTTAAAAAGGGAATGGTCAAACGACGTGGAATGACTTTGGGTGTTCTCTATACTCACTCCGGTGCCAGGTTTGGATGTCTTTTTGATGGCGGTCAACTTGCATTTGTAAGATATTACTATTTCAAATTGTAAACAGACTGGCAATTTTATTGCCATTTGTGATCAAAGCAGACGATTGGAGAGAGAACAACATGTCGATTGCTGGCAAACTGTGTCATTATCAATAGAACTACAAACTTCATCAAATGAGTCCATCAGATGAGCAAGCAGCTTATGGAAACGATAACTTCCGATAAGAAAATATCCTTCAGTGGAAAAATTGGGTCCTCCTCTAGCTTTGTAGGTCACGTCAACCTAATGCCTATGAACAGAAATTAATCCAAAATTTCTACCCTCACGGTAGCAAGAAAAGAGAATAAAACTGTTCTGCATTCTTTTCTTTTCATTCAAGAATTATGGAACTTCTACTTACCGTCAATGGGGACGCGATGAATACCAATGGATTAAAAGCTACCAAAAGTGTGACTGATGGCTTGTCAGTGATCCTAAGTTTATCTGCTACCGCTTACCTTGAGCAGTGGCAGACGTTGTATTTGATGATTAGAAGCAGTGGCGAGGGTGATTTTGAAGTAACCAATGGAGGCGCATTTAGCGTGGTACTATTAGGTAAGACAGCATATCTCGTCGTTTTATTTTAAATGTGACCCGCTTCCCAAATTTGGAAAAAGGGTCGTCTTATGTCTAACTTAAATTCATGATTTGCAATGGATTTGCTTCAAGTTTTGTTCCTGAACGTTATTCTTCGACCTTTTCACAGACATCAGTTACCATTCTCGTGTGGAATGAAAAAATCAATTCTTTATTGTTTAGAAGTTCAAAAACTGTTTGAAAAGATTTCTTTGAACTTCACTCATGATTAAAAAAGTGCTTACTACGTACTACTAATTAGCCACGATTGTACTTGAAGAACTGTCTTAATATTATTATCATTAGTTGTAGTAGAAGTAGTAATAAGTAACAGTAGTAGCAGTAGTAATAGTAGAAGCAATAGTAATAGAAGCAGTAGTAGTAGTGGCAACAATAGCAGAAGTAGTATTATCAGTAACCATGTAGCAGTAGTAGTAGTTTATGTAGTAGTAATAATAGTAGTAGCAGCAGCAGTAGTAGTATAAGACTTTAGTTTTTACGGGTTTCCTACTCAGATAAAAAACTTAGAATCCTCAAAAAAACAAAACAAAGTAAGTTTTTCTAACTAAGAAAAGCTATCAACTTGTAGTTAAAGTTTAACCTTTTTTACAAGGACGCTGTGTATGAATATTACGCTAAAACACTTGAAAATCTCAGTTTGGAAGATTTTTTTGAATGCAATAAGCACATATCTTTTTTAAAATCCCTATATATATTTTTAGAGGAGACAAGGCAGTACAAGACAATAGGAAACAACATTATTCAGTTTGACAAAGGCCCACGTATAATACGTCATCCACCAGCGTACACTAGTCTCGGCGGCGATCTAGGATTAAATGTTTCATGGAGATGTGATGCGGTAGCTAAGGGAAATGTGTCTTATCAATGGCTAAAGAATAACCAGGTACATGTAATGGACCAAAGAATTGACCAGAAAGTGTAAAAAGCATTGAATTAATCTAAGACCTTTTACGTAAGAGTTTTAATATCAATAAAACAAAAAAGGTTCTTTATTCCTTTTACAAATATTAAAAAATGAAATACAATGTTAAACAAATAGTGCAGCATTGACTGTGCTCTGTTCTGTTTTATAAAATGTTCAGAGAAATGCGCGCACCATGATTGGTCACGAGCTCATTATTAAAGAAATAAAAAACTCTCAAGTGCACTATTGAGTTATATAAGCAATTATATAACTTTACAATGCTCGAGGAACATTTTTTAAAATTTCTTTTATAAAATGTATCTTGAATTGCGTGCACTCGTACCGATGGCATAGGCTACGTGCATTAGATCTCAACGGTGCACTCGTGTGACGTAAGGCGCGTGCTATATGGAAATATAATGAACTCGTTCTGACCAATCACGGGGCGCTTTTCTCTGAACATTTTGAGATAGAGCATGCTTTTTCAACCAATGACAGCGCGCGTTATGTTCAAGCTTTATTTATAAAATATATTGACTTCATTCCTGGTAATGATGAAAAAGTAGCATGATTCGTTTGGTTGATACTCTAGTTATGAGGTGGATTGTTTTTGGTTTGTTTTGTTTTTCTCGTGATGTTTTAACTTCGAGATACGGATCGCGACGTTTCGACTGCGTACTGCGAGTCTCTTAAGGCGATAAGGTAGATTGGTCACACCTCACCTAATAAAGTATCATGATTGCTATGGTGGGGTGGTGGATAGCGCGTTTTGAATATGTATTCTGTCTGAAAAAAGGATCAGTCTGCAGTCGAAACGTCGTGATACTCATTGAAGTAAGTTACACGAAATATACTCCAATACTAATTTCTTACCAATTTTTAATTTTTTCTTTCCTGTCTTTTCTGTAACAATTTTTAGCCTTTTGCACCATCTCATGACCTGTCTCTTATTAACGTGCAAGTATCACACACGGGTCAATATGTCTGTTTGGCGGAATATGACGGCATCAAGGTGTACTCAACACCAGCTGACCTTGATGTGTTCGGTAATATCAATGTAAAATAGCCTTAATCGAAAATCATGTACACTCTATTTTGCTTGTCGTTGTTGCCGCTGTAACATAGCTGTAATATGTTGCTAATCACATTTGTACAGAAAATTGATGCCTTTAAAAATACTAGTACCGATCGTGATGAATATACAAAATCCTTGTACTTAGAAGAGTTTTCTCAAAACTGTACTGTGTGCAATCTTATTCAAGGCTCTGATAGTTTATATCTAAACCCTCAATCTTTAGATACCCTTCTTTCAAGAACCTGCTTCAAAGGAGGTTCTTTATACCACCTCATGTTAAAAATTATAGGGTTGCATGATGTTCACAAATATTGAGCAAACATCATCATTTTATCTCACTCAGGCAGCAACACTAAGTTCCTTAAAAATCCTCTCGACCACAGTAAGCCAAAGTGTTATTTGTAGGTGAACAAAAGGGATCTGCAACACTGAAAAGTTTTCCAACACATTAGATCGGAACAATTTGTTTCCTTCATTCATTTTTATTAATTTTATCTATTTTGCTGTAGACACCACGCCACAGTTTGAGACCAGAGAATTTAATGCCACAGAAAATAAAAATGCTTCATTTGAGCTTCCTTTTAGTGCTTTGGACAAGGAACGCATGGCTGCTATTGTCTCTCTCGTCATAGTTAAAGGTTGGTAAAGAAAACGGCAAATATCCTCTTACCTACAAGGTTGTTGCATACCTTCAGGACTGAGCGGGTAACTTTAAAAAGTTTACCTCAAACAATTTTTCAAAATTCAGTCAAATTAGGAGGTGCATCAACAGAAATGTGTCGGGGATTTGATATTACTAAATTTTCAGCTGATTAAGCCTAGTCAGCCGATTCTTTTCTTCCTTTTTTCTTAAACTGATTCTCCTCACTTTTAACAGAGGTGAACCAAACAAAAACCATAAAACGGCTTTTTATTGTTTGGGTCCAGAACTGTTTCCAAAAAAAAAAAATTAATCGCAAGTTAGTAAAATCGCGTTGATCCACAACTTTTCAAAGTAAATTTATTCTGCTTTTATAAACGAAATTCTAGCTCCACAAGATTGAATGTGATCTAATGTGGGTACCAAGCCAAGCCAAATAGGAGATCTGTGGATGTTAATATTAGTGTTTTTTCTTATGGCTCCTAATATCACTGAGGTGATATTAGAATAATTTGAACATGGATTGTTCACCACAAACACTCCCTAGTTTTCCTTTCCTAACCTTTATCTAAACTAACGCTAGAAAGCAATAATCAACAAGCCTGAGTCTTCGTGACGTTTGAAAATCACATTTCAAATCTGCAAATAGTGGTTTCAAGACATCCTGCGTTTCGGCATCCTACATAACATTAACATTTTTAAGCGGTATTAACTACTGAGACGTAGCCATTGTAACGTAATCAGATAATCCAACAATTTCAATCCAACTGTAAGTTGATCATTGCAAAGATGCATAGCATAACACGTGTGCTTGCATCTGGGATATCAGTTCTCGTTGTACTGCGCAAGCTCGTAGAGGCTTGTTACAAAGAACACAATAACAGGAAACTGAAAATGTAAATATAACTTGAAACGGATGAACACTGACTAAAAATGTTCACTGTTCAAGATTGTTCCCTCAGCCTTCCCGGTTCCCTAGGTAGTAAAATACCTCAGGTACGTAGGCCTCCTTAGTGGAAACAGGTGTGGGAACGCTTGGTGGAGCGGGCTGAGGATCTGGCTGCAGGAACTCTGAAGATTTAACAACTCCATTATTTTTGTTTGATTCGAGAACGGGAACACTTGGCAAAACTAACTGGAACCTGGCTGCGAGGCAGCAGGCATCTGCAATGCTGAGGATTCAGTTCGTAGCTGGGGTATCCCCTTAGAGGGTCTCCTAGCGGGTAGTCGAATCTGAGTATCGACCTTTGACTGCACTCTATCTTCGTCTCGCATCCCTTAGAAGTTCTCAGGAACTTTGTAAAGATGAGAACCATTTGGGCGCTATTCTACCATCTTCTGTGCACACTATATAGGAACGTACCTCTACCTGACTACTAACTTGCCAGTACCACATATCAGACTTTGAATGGTGGCAGCTACTTAGTTCCTCTGTCCTCGTAGATGGACTTCTTAAGATTCCTTTGTTTTAATTTGAGCTTGACATCAGAAATAATTTTTGGCTGAAGCAGATGACTAGCCATAGGCAGGGAAGTGCGAGTTCTGCGCGAAAAGAGACGCTGTGCGAGAGTGCCGTCCATTCCTTCTGGGGTGTTCCTAAAGTTCAGTAGAGACATGTGAGGGTCATGGCTAGCATCGATGTTTTGCAGTTTTAACACTGTTCTCCGCCTTGCCGTTGGACAGCGGATATCATGGCGAAGTTTTAATGTGTTCAAACTGGTACTCCGCTGCAAACTTCTAAAAACTTCTTCAAACTTTGGTCCATTGTCTGTGGTAATATGGTTCGGAAGCCCATATCTTGCAAGGAGCGGCATTAGTTTGTCAATAACCCCTCTGGTAGTCTAGATGTCAGCATATCTAACTCGAAGAAATTAGAGTAACGGTCAGTGGTAACCAGGTAGTCGTCAAACGTATCGGCTGAAATGCTTTGCTATGGTCTTGTCGGTATTTCTTAAAAAACTAGAGGTTCTCTCTGCTGTTCTTGTTTGTAGCTGTTTCAAATGCTGCACCTTGAGATGATCTCTGTAATTTGCTTGTAAATGCCTGGCCAGTAGAAGGCTTCTCTAGCTCTCCTGAGACGCCCCTGAACGCCCAGGTGACCAGCACCTACTTTGTCTATCATGGATTGCGTTAGGGTAGATGGTACCATTATTCGCTCACCCTCGAACACGACACCTTGCTGTATGGACAACTCTCCTCTGAAAGGAAAGTATTCCTGCAACTTGAGTGGTACGTATGGCCTGCTCTCTGGCCAGCCTTGTTTGATCATAGTGGCTAATGCCTGAAGCTCTGCATCAACTTCCATGGCACTCTTGATTTCTGAGAGAGTTAGTTGTCGAATGGGAACAAACACAATCATATCTACATTCTCAGGCTCAATTTCTGTTGGTGAACTCATGTCAGTGACACTCCATACTGCTTCTTTGTCACCACTTACTTGTTTAGCACAGGGAAGGAAGGCTCGGCTGAGGGGATCTTCCATGTGCATTTCAGTGCCCTTTCTGTATGAGACTTCACTGAGTCAAATTTATACAGACGCAACAGCATTCTCTGCAACCGCTTTGGTACACTCAACAGACTCTTCTTCATAATGGATTCTAGGGGTTTGTGGTCAGTGTCGATAAAAGTCTTTCTACCATAGACGTAGCCCTTAAACGCTCAACCCCGAAGGCAATTGGTAATAACTCCTTCTGGATCTGGGCATAGTTAGTTTCCGTAGGAGTGTGGGCCCTAGAGGCATAAGCGACAGGGTGCCCCTCTTGTAGCAGACAGGCCCCTAAACCACTCATGGAGGCATCGCATTGAAGTATCGTCTTCTTTTGAGGATCGAAGAACTTGAGCACTGGCGCTAGGGTTAATACTTGCTTTACTTGCTCTAAGCACTTGCCATGAACTCCTTCCTCCCATACAAACTCATTTTGCTTCTTGACAAGTTCTCTCAGTGGTTTTGCCAAATCTGCTAGATTGGGTGCAAACTTCTGTACGTAATTTACCATGCCTAGTACTCTCTGGACATCTGCCCTATCACTAGAGGACGGCATTTTGTTGATGTCTTTCAACTTGTTTGGATCAGCGCCAAGACCCTCTGAAGAATTAATGTGGCCCATGGAGCTGAATTGTTTCTGTCTTACTTGCATCTTCTCTGAATTCAACTTGATACCTTTCTGTCTACAGCGGTTGAACACCTCCCAAGGTTGCGGTCATGACCTTCAAGGGCTCCTTCATCCGTGTTGTCTGCTATAGCTTTTTGCCCTGGTAACCCTTCAAGTGTAATATCAATAATATTCAACTGTACGTGCCAGAACCCATTTTTCGCATCAAGTAATATGAACACACGGGCCTTTGATAGGAGAGGCAGTACATCAAGTATTGTGGGTAAAGGGTAACGATTTCTGCGTAGGGCTTCATTTAAGGGTTTTGGGTCAATGCACAGTCTGACTTGGCCATTCTTCTTCGTTGTGATCACCACTGCTGAAATCCACTCAGTCGGTGAATCGACCTTTCGAATCAATGAAATATCTGACAGTCTGTCCAATTCTTGTTTTAGAGGTTCTCTGAAGACGATTGGCACTCTCCGTGTAGTTAGCTGGACTGGTTGGACATTCTGGTCGATTTCCAGGTGGAGTTGTCCATCCAGTTTGCATTCTCCAGTGAACGCATCCTTGTACTGCGACATGCAGTCTTCCACCTTAGGACCTTCACTCCTCACGCCATCCGAGTCCCCTCCATGGATATTCTGTTTGTTGACAGTTAGAAATTAAAGATGTTCACTGGCTCTCAAGCCTAAAATGGATTTGCATGCACCACTAACAATAAGGAACTCAATGCTGTACCTTTTATCTTTCTTTGGGCTAACTAACTTCAGTCTTTTCTTGCCCAAAGGTTTAACTTCTGACTGGTTTTACATTACAAGAGTCATTGTGGTTTTCTCTAATTCGTTGAAGCTGTTGTGCCCACAAAGCCTTGTCACCGTCTCAGCAGTCATAATGTTTACAGTTGATCCACTGTCTACTTAAAACTTCTCCTCCTTTTTACGCGAGCAAAGAAGAGAAGATGAGAAACTGTTCGTGACATATGAATTTAATGATACCCTACTTGAATTACAAAATCAAAGAAATTAGAATGAAGTATTGGCTTCCAGGTTACAAGTGCGAGGTTCTAGTGTAAAACCCATTAATAAAGTTTGGTTCTTACGCAATTACCGTCAGTTGACATGTTTCTCTCTTCGGTCAGTCCTGAAATCTGCTATTTCCATGTAAATCTAGTAAAAATTTTCCAACTATAGCCCTAGCTAACTTGAGTCTTAATACTAAGTTTCTTCAATTTTATTTCTTGTTTAAAGATGGCAAATGATAGCTGTTATGATTCTTTTCGGTACAAAACTCAACCTATATTTCACCTTTCTTATATTATCCAGGAAACACGAAGGGTACGTTTGTACTATTCCCTGAGGTAGCACAGGACAGATTCAGTCTAAGAAATCAAATTCCATTAGATCACGAGGCCATAAACCTGTTTCAACTGACACTTAAGGCTACCAATCAGGACACGAAGAAATCAACTGAAGTCGAAGTGACAATTCATATTTTGGATGATAACGATAATAAACCGATATTCCATAACAGGTGAGGTATTGTGACATGGCTCGTTGATTTTTACCTCATGGTGTAGCGTTTGTCATATTATGAGGTTTAAGTATGGAGGAAAAATTCACTCACACACTCACTTTATTTCTTCATTTGTTCAACAATTAGTTCAGACATTAAAACCCGGATTAAACCTGCTATCTCATGCCTCCCCTAGTAGATTTGCTTCTCTACTAAAAGTCATGCTATTGTCTTCTGTTCAAATATTTGGGGGAGGGGGGTGGTACAAAGGCCGAAAATTTTGCCAGGGTGCAGGGAGTAATCAAAATTATTCAAAATACCTTGCAAAATACCTGCCTTTGGGCCAGAGGCTTTCTTTTTGTTTCATCCTTGATCAAAATACATTCGTGTAGACCCTCCAAACGAAGAGGAAATTTGCGCAAGAATTGGAGAGTAAAGGGCTTCAAAGTCTTGAAATTGATGTTGACAATAGTCCCAACTATTCACATTGAAATATTTGTTGGACCGAAGGCGAAAATCATCGAGGTTTTTCCTTCTTTTTGCTCCATTCTTGATCAAAATACACCCGTGTAGAACTTACACACGAAGAGGAAATTTGTGTGAGAATACTCAATTGGCAAGAAAAGGGCTTCAAAGTCTTAAAATCGACAATGACAGCAGGCCCAACGATAGATATGGCAATATTTTGTCGCGCTGCATGTGCGATTTTAATTCATGCCTTTAAGTTGATTATCAGGTATCCATTTGGCTGCCACATGGTTATATGTTGCTTATATTTGGCTCATATCTTGAGGTTTTAAAGGTATTTATTTCATTTGAACTTTTTATGCGATTTCATCCTTTCCTCAAGCTGACTTTCGGTATCTGTTTTGGCCACATTTTGCATATATTTGGGAGGTTATTTACCATGTTTTGGGTTTTTACAGATCACGTCGAATTAATCCTTTCTTTTTATCACGCAATCACCTTGCGAGCTATTTAACGCGCGGTTAAATTATATTACTTGCTTAGGCATAGATAGAATTGGCCGTCGTTTAGTCCCGATATTTTTGTCTCTGTTTGGCCTCTATTTTATCTGACCTTAAAATGTAGGTCTCTAACACATTTAAAGTTGATAATAAGCTGGTCATTTAAAGAAACGTCACGCGCTGAGGAGATGACAAAGATTTCAAGTTCTCACCCATTTATTGTTTAATTAAAATGTAACATAAATTTTATTGCATTACAGGTTTTTTTCCAGCGTTTTCCGAAAAGTTGTAAAGTAACATTTCAATTTTAATCTCACTAATAGGACTGTGAACATTTCTGTCGAGGAAAACGTAGCAAATGGAACTTTCATATATCAAGTGAAAGCGATTGATAAAGATTCTGGGAACAATTCGAGAATAAAGTATACTCTGCTGTCAGGGGAGTATAAGGAAAACTTCGTTATTGATGCCTCATCTGGAAATGTCTCTGTCAACGGAAACCTTGATCGTGAAAGCAGGGGTGATTTCACACTCCTAATCCAGGCGACGGATGGAAAGTTTCGATCAAACATGAGCTTATTAATAACAATATTGGACGTGAACGAATTCCAACCAGTGTTTAATCCACAGTATTATAAAAGAAACATTTCAGAAATGGCTTCATTTGGGACGCCGATCATTCGAGTTTCTGCCACAGACGAGGACTCAGCAGAGAATTCCATAATACATTATAAAATCATTAGCGGTAATATTAATGGCACTTTCGGCATCAGTGAAACAAACGGAACGATTTTGCTTCAAAAATCATTAGATTACGAGACACTGAGCGGTTACAAACTTCTTGTAGAGGTCTCCGACGGTAAATATAATTCAACCGCGAACGTTTCAATTCAAGTCGAAGATTTCAATGACAATAGTCCGTACTTCACGAAAAACCTTTTTTCAACTACCATTTCAGATGATATTCCTATAGGATTTGTGGTAATGAATTTGACAGCACTAGACAGCGATAGTGGCTGTAATGGATACGTGACGTATTCGTTAGCGGAAAACCTGCGGGAAAACGACCATCTACATCTATTCCATGTCATTCCTACAAGTGGAGCCATCATAACTTTAGACAAACTCAAACTGAACGCACCCCTAGTTAAATACAGGTTTTCTGTCATCGCTAGTGACCATGGTATTCCGAGTAGGCAATCGCGTGTAAACGTCACGATTATCGTGGAAGATGCAAACAACTCTCCCCCTGTGTTCACAGATTGCCCAGACATTATAGTAATAGGGTCAACCAAACCAGAACAGCACTTCTTTAATGTCTCGGCTTCCGATGCCGATTATGGATCCAATGCCAACATCGGTTACTTTATTGACGATGGACCATCCTCAGAAATGTGTTCTTCAAACTCAAACATGTTTCAAGTTGATGAAAAGGGAGCAGTTCGTAACGTACAAGAGCTGGAGGAGAAATGTATTTATAACATAACCATATGTGCGACGGACGGAGTGAAATTTGATCGATGCACAGTTACTTTACGCGTCAATCTGCCTGATGAACCCACTGCCGTAGAAAGGACAGGTGAGCTAGCTTTTTTGCCCAACACCTTCATCTCAGGGTTACGAATTTGGCTGATGCATTTATCTTTACGTGAAAAGTGTATTTCATTTTATTTCTTCTTTTACCAAAACACTGTTTGGTAGCTTTTCTTTTAGAGTCACGTCTCCGTGATCTTGAAAATGGTCACTTTCCCACCACACAATGAAGGGAAATAAAGTGTTAAAACTGAATAGGGGTCTGTTCTTGACCTTAATCCATCACCCTTTGTTTCGCAAATGCCTGCTAAAAGCGTCAAGACCCCACGCATCTTACCATCATCAAATCTTACGAACGAGCGCACCTTTTCAACTGAACGTAAGTCGTCTTATTTAGGATACGTATTTATGAGGGTTGTCTTCAAGTTTCAGCCTTTACCTTGACGTATGCATCGAGTGTGGTTGATTAAGGCGTCAAACTGACTATGCACCGAGAAATTTAAAACATATTTTGGTCATCGTTTCGTGACGTAACGTATTTCGGAGCTACTTCTGTTATGGAGACAGATATCCAATTTTACAACAGATATCTGAAATTTTTCTGACTCATTTTCTTTTCCTGTCCTCAGATGATCCTCAGGGCACGCAAATAATTGTCCTGAGCATTATAGGCGTCCTCCTAAGCGGTTTTATTTTGGGTCTGATCATTATTTGTTGCTTCCGAAGGAGAAGAATAAGGTATGTGTAATGGCTTTAATTTTCTTAATCTAAGAATAAGGTATTTACGAGAAGAAAAAAAGTTGGATTGAGCAATATCCGAAAAAAGGAGAAAAATTTAAAAATGTGAAATCTGAGTGTAAAGACAATAGCTTCATACAACGAAAGGGGATCTAGACGATTTTATAATAAAGTTCGGATATAACGCGCGCTGTCATTGGTTGAAAGAGCGTGCTCTATGAGAGTATAGAGCATAGAGCTGAGCTAAAGCTGTCACGCCATCTGCCATATTGTAGCATGTTCGACCTTTTCCGGGACTTCTTTTTAGCTTTTTTCCGATAATTGAAGGTGAAATTTCGGAACAAGCGAGCCGGCAAGTAGCAACAGAAGAACCAAACAAACGTTTGTAAACATACCAGGCGCCGTGATTTACGTTATTAAAACGTGAGCAGATACGAAAATCCTCAAAGGAAAAACAAAATAGACATTCCGAGTTTAAAGATTTTCACGCTCAGTTAGATTGCAAGCTTACGTACGGTAATAAAAATCAAACACAGCTAACACTCATATAGTATATAAAGTTCAGTGTTCAAAAACAAAACAGAAAAAAAACAGAAATGATGAAAAATATAACCAAACTGGCATAATTGTTAAAATTCATACTAATCATGACGATGTCTGAGAGAATATGATCATGCTGAAGTTCATCGCGGCTCGCTCATCATGGCGATCTCCAGTCATCACAATAAAGCAAGCCTCAGAAACTACATCGGCCGCCCTTCGAGTGAAAAAATAAGAGCTTGCTCTGATATCCTTTCCGATACGTTGAGTGGAAAGTCACATCAGTCACTGCAGCCGAGTTTTGCGGCGCTGTCATCCCGCGCGATCTTCATGTTCTGGTGAATTCGGTTGTCGTTCATTCAACAAGCACTCGCCTTGAACAGTTTGTTTTCTACCTTGTCATGTGAAAAAACTCACGTGTTTTTATGAGCCATAATTCGGCTGAAGTTCACTGAACATTTCACTTCAAGATTCTGTATTAGAGACTTAAAAACTTCAAGCAAAAGTGAGTGTTAAATTCGACTTGCCGAACTATTTTAGTTTGTAAACTATCGTAGAATGTGAACTTTGATGGTTTTGAACTTTTGGTTTGACACTTTTGACAGTCTTTGTACAGCCAATCAGATTATTTGAACCATTCTAACAGGGATTCTGATTGACTTATTGTAGCGTGCTTTATGAGAGTATAGAGCATGCTGACGACACTGTTGTTCGCTTTGGAAATAAAGTTTGTTTTGAAAATTGAATGTAATGCTTGGGCAATTTAACGGATTCTTTATTATAAAACAAATAGAGAAGCCTTGACTGTACTCTGTTCTGTTATATAGCACTTAGGAAGCGGCTAGAGCACTCAAGAAGTGGGAAGAAACACTCGACTGCGTCTCGTGTTTCTCCCTACACTTCTTTCGTGCTCTAGCCGCTCCTGCGTGCTTTATAACAGAACAGAGCACAGTCAAGGCTTCTCTATTTGTTAAATAGCGTTAAAAAATGTCTTCTAATCATATATATATATATATTTATGAACAGTGTTTATGCAATGGCGAAGAAAGACAGAAACAAGGCTGAATCTGAATTGTAACAATTTACTGGATGCAATGAAAACAGAATGGCGCAGTAGGAGCGGGGTACGTGGAATGCGGAACTAGTGGTCAGCATTATTTTATATAAACTTAAAACATCTCAGGATTATTCTAAGGGTTAAGTGGTAGCGGTAGGACTACAGATGAAATTTACGATTCGAATTAAAAAATGAAATAACTTCTTTAGAAAACCGTTGTACCTTTGGTGCGTCATTCGATTTTTTAACATATGTTCTGCAAATCATTAAATTCAATTTCAAAATACATTCCAAGTTGATAACGGATTGAAAAAAAAAACATTTAATAGATATCAAGATCCTGATATCGTTCTTTTTTATACCATTTTTCTCTCTCTCTGTTGTGTAGCATTCAGTAAGCTATGGTCTTCTATGTTTGATCATTTGATCTGAATAGAGATACTGCATGGTTGAATAATGACTTCAGAGCATTGCCGCCACGAAAACGTGCTGTTAGAAGGCCATAACGCCTACGTCAAATTAGTTTAAATGATAAATCAATGCATAACAACTGACGAAAGCTTGTATCAATTCAAATTCTCTGCTTGATTCTGATCATGAAAATGTTGAAGAATCTTCCGCTTCAAGCTATGAATCCGATGAAGAAAATCCAGAGCCTGGGGACAGGAATTTTTTCATGACCGTGGAAGACGAATTTCTCGTATTAGTGAAAATAGACTAGGATTATTTTACCCTGATTTATCTGTGAGATTTAATGTGTGTGAAGAAACTGTTTCTATACTGTTCACAATTTAGTTTAATTACTTATGTGAACGTTTTGGTGTGTTAAAGATCTGGCCAGACAGAAATTTTTTTGCTTAGCTCCCACATACTCAAAGTTAATTGAAAAAAATCACAAGGAATGTCAATAGTATGGCACAAAAGTGGTTATGAGGTAAATGGGAAGCAATAACTTTAGAACCTCATTTGTATCACATGTAATACATCAAGGTTTCTTGAAGTATTAATGAAAGAATTTTATACATGCCAAATAAGCTTCGTGTCTGGACAATCTCTTTCCCTTTCCCAGTGGACAAAGGGCAGTAAATATTTCCCTGTAGATTCTATGTAGAGGCCCCCCCCCCTACATGTAGCTGTTCATTCATAATTTTTCTAAAAAGGCCAAAGTATGATCAAAATAACATTTTGTTACCTTTGGAAAAAGGTTATCCTCCCAATATGTCTACTCAGAGTACATCCGCTGAACATTAATATTGTGTGAACCTGGGCTGGGTTGTTCAAAGTTGGGTTAAGATAACCCAAGGTTAGTGTGAATTCCGATTTCAGGTCTAAAAGCTTTAAAAGAAAATTCAGTCGAATTCTTTTTGTCTAGAGTATGACTATTTGATGCTTTTATTTCCCCGTCTGAAAATTTTCCCAGAAAGGCTTTAGAGTAAAGGAATAAAGAAACCCAGATTAAAATCTAACCCTGGGTTAGCGCTAATCGGCCTTCGAACAACTGGGCCCTGAGCGATAAACAACAAAGTCACACCATGGAAGCCTAGTGACACTTGACTGCCCTTGAACTTAATCATAATATCTATTATTGTCTTTTGTTTCCGTTTTGCCTTTCCATCAACCATATGAAGGAAGAGGTCTGTATCCTGATAAGCCTCATCTGCGGTTTTATTTCTCCGTCTATATGAATTTAATCAACTGGAGTAAACCAAATGGATCCTTCTGAGTTGGGTCCTATACTTTGCTATCTGAAGAGGCCTCAAGATGGGGAAAAGAGGAATTAACCACTAGGCCTGTATCATACACAATAATCTGCTTCCTGTTCTTTTGCTTTTTCCTGCAGTAGATAGGTCGAGAAATCGTTTCTTGTCGTCTTCCACGACGAATAGAAGATACCTTAGACAAATTCTTTGGCCAAAATATGTCCCTCAGAAAAGATTCCCAAAATTGGATGTAACGTAATCAGGAAATCAATAGGTGGACTAAATAATACAGCTAGATAACACAATGATGTAATCTGATCGAAAGTTGACCATTGCAAAGATACATAACAAAACACGTGTACATGCATCTGGGTTATCAGTTCTCATTGTGCAGCGCAAGCCCGTAGAGGCTATTGTGACATCGTTACATTTCCCTTCTTTGAATAAACAAACAAAAAACATAATAACATGAAATTGAAAACTGAAAACGTAAATATAACTTAAAACGGATTAACACTAACTAAAAAATTTCAAAAGTCCAAGATTGTTAGCTCAGCCTCAACACCGGTTTCCTCCTTACAATTCTGCCATTTCTTGTGGAGACAGGTATGGGAACACTTGGTGGAGACGGCTGAAGATCTGGCTGCAGGAACTCTGAAGATCTAACAACTCCATCGCTTCTATTTAAGCCAAGAACGGAAGCACTTTGCAAAGCCGCCTGGGAACCTGGCTGCGAAGCAGCTGGCATCTGCAATGCTGATGTCGAATCTGGGGATTGACCTTTGACCGCACTTTATGTTCATCTGGCATCCCTTGGAAGTTCTTGGGAACTTTATTAGGATGTGAAAAATTAGAGTCTACTATCTCCTTTGCAAACTATAAGGAGCGTAAGGCTACCTGACCACCAGCTTGCGCTTTAAACCATTTTGACTGACATGGTAAGGGTCGAATCTACACCACATCTCCGACTCTGTGTGGTGGCAGCTCCTTAGCTCCTCTGTCCTTGTTGTAATTTGAGCTTCACATCAGGAATACGTGCAGGGAAGTGCGGGTTCTGAGTGGATGAGACGCTGTGAAGGAATGGTGTCCATCCCTGCTGATGGGGTGCTCCTAAAGTTCAGTAGAGACATGTGAGGGTCATGGCCAGTATCGGCAGCTTTCTTCAAGATGTTTTGCAGTTTTAACACTGTTCTCTGCCTTTCCGTTGGACTACGGATATCGTGGCGAAGTTTAATGTGTTCAAACTGATACTCCGCTGCAAACTTCTAAAACTCGTTCAAACTGTGGTCCATTCACAGCATGAAATTATGAATTTACGAATCCGTAAACATGCCGTAAAGTAAGCGTTAAGATCCTCTTTACGCGTCTTAACGAACTTCTTTACACTTCCGTAAAGAATGTCTTTACGCACTGAAAACGATAGTGCGTAAAGATCACGGAGAGAGACTAAAAACACTATCTTTACGTGCCTTGTAAAAAGTCGTATAGAGAATATTTACGATATTCACTGTAAAGTGATCAGAAAGGCGATCTTTACGCGTTATTAAACTATCGTAAAAGGACAATATTCACATTCCCGTTTGCCATTTTGCGGTTGTCTAGATTTTTTGGCAACATTCCCTTTTTGTGAATCAGACCATAACAAATGTGAGCTCGTGACAACATCAACGTAATGCGCTATCTTAGCGCGTAATGCAAAAAGTCGTATCGAGAACGTTTGCGATAATTTACGCTTTCGTAAAAAGACGCCGTACGTGCCTTTCAAGCATTGACCCATAACAACACCTGTTTTATAAATGGCAATTTATTTTATTGTCATAACTCTTCAACTTGATTTTGTAATTTTTACAGTAACGTAGCAAGAGGTTTATATTATTCAGTCCAGTATAAAAGGGCCTGGCCATTTCTCACGTTTCAATTAAAAATAAAACTTTTATTGAAATTTTTGATTTCTAAAAGAAAGTTAAAAACATAAGAAATTGACAAGCAATTTACCAATGTGGTTCATACTATATTTATATTTACGTTTCTTTTCACAAGAGTTAAAGATGCGTACATTTGCGATTTCATGCTGTGATTGTCTGTGGTGATACGGTCCGGAAGCCTATATCTTGCAAGGAACGGCTTTAGTTTGTCAATAACCCCTCTGGTAGTCTTAGATGTCAGCATATCTAACTCGAAGTAATTAGAGTAACGGTCAGTGGTAACCAGGTAGTCGGTGCTGTTAAGTTCAAACAGGTCGGCTGAAATGCTTTTCCATGGTCTTGTCGGTATTTCCTAAGAAACTAGAGGTTCTTTCTGCTGTTCTGGTTTGTAGCAAGTAAGTAAATAAGTAAGTATCCTCATTTGAGTGTCAAATACATCTAGCGTCATAATGACGCTTATTGGGGACACTATATTAGGAGGAAAATTTAAAAAGAAAGGATAAACATTACAATACAATTCTAAAAATGCAGAAAATATATGCTAGGAACAAAAAACGTACTTGTAAAAAAATAGCTGCTCATACGTGGATGTTTTGTCGAGGAAGACAATCCATAGGGCTTTCTCCTGTATACGTTCCAGTTTTCTTTTGTCGGATGCCCTTGCAAAGTGCCAGATTTTCTGACGATATGTTAAGTGTGGTAATATTGAAGACCTATAGATTACTAGTTTGGCTCGTTCAGGTACTAACTTTTTTATCCGCATTAATACACCAACTTGTTGACTCGCCTTTTGACATAGTTGACTGATGTTTTCTGAGAAATTTAGTTGATTGTCAATGGTCACACCCAAGAGCTTCAATTTTTCAGAATGACCAACGATTTCATTTCCACATAGGATATCGATAGAGATACCTTTTTCTTTCCTCCAATATTCAGCAACATAGCTTGGTATTTCTTGCCATTTACTTGCAGTAGATTCTGCTCGTACCATTTTGTAATTTGATTTCCAGCAAACTGAAGTTGACTTTGCACCTGTGCTGTAGCTATAGACGTTCCTGTAACGTAGACCTGATGATTATCGGCGTACATTGATATGTTACAGTTCTTCATATTGTAGTTGAGATCATTTTGATAAAGCTTCCACATACAGGGACCAAAACAGGATCCCTGTGGGCATCACTGTAAGTATTCTTTCCTCTGGCTATAGACAGGGCCTAGCTTCACTCTGTTTTTTTCTTTGGTTGAAATATGATCGCATAAGTTCCAATGCTTTATCAGAGAAGTTATACGCTTCCAGTTTCTTAACTAGCAGAGGACAATAGAGCGAGTCGAAAGCCTTGCTCATATCAGTTGACAGAACTGCTATGACTTTTCCACAATCTAATTTCTTTTTCCATTCCCCCACAAGCCGTAACAAGGTGGTGTCACAACTATGATTTTTTCCGTATGCTGTTATATTTGGACTTAAAATAGGGTCCGTGTGATTACTAATTTGATCACATAGACGTTTTTCATAGATTTTTCCAGCAGTCGGAATCACTGTTATTTCCGTATTCTTCCAACTCCGATGCTTCTTTCAACTTTCTAAAGCTTCGTATCACGTTGGGCGGCGACGTCCATCCTCTACCGGGTCCAGATAAAGAAGCGAAAAAAGCGATTCCAGTGTGCACCGGGAGACGTTTCAAGGGAAAGAAAAACAGGGTTGTCTCGCCCGGCCACATCAGGGCTAATTGCAAGCGCTAAGTCACTAATGCGTGTAAACCATAATAAACAACTCACAATAGCTCTTCTTAACGCCGAGTCTCTGAAAAACCGTCAACACTTTCACGAGATAAGCAAAATGGCGCTAGAGAAGAAATATGATGTTCTTACGATCTCGGAGACCTGGTTTAACGCGACTATTACCTACATCAGTGTCGAGATTAAAGGTTACCAGATATTCAGGCTAGATCGCTTGTGAAGTCCGGCGCTGGTGTTTGTGCTTATGTCAGACATGGCTTAAGGACCTGGTCCTGGTCCTCAAGGACCTGGCTGGCATCGGCGAATCAGGTCTACATCAACTCTGGTTACAAATCCAAAACAAGAAAAGGCGTTCTACAGACCCCCCGGACATAGGCTTTTCCTGTCTCGAAAATGAACTCATGCCAACGCACGTGAAGGTCTTATCCCGTAACAAGGACATCGTACTGACTGGTGATGCAAATTGTGACTTAATACTCAAAACCCCCAGGAGTGATGCTCTTTGGTCTTTCTGTACTTCCGTGAACGCCCACCAGTTGATAGACAGACCTACTAGGGTCACTTTGACGTCACGTAGCCTCTTGGATATTGTCATGGTATCAAACAAGGACATAGTAAAGACCAGTGGTGTTTTAGACCTCACCATCAGCGACCACTACGTCGTGTATGTCGTCCTTGATATGAAAGTACCTAAGCCTCTACCCATCTACATCACAACCCGGAGTTTCAAAAACTATACCGCTGACCAGTTCTCCAGTTACATCGCAAAGTACCACGGGAAACTGTGAAATTAATGGCCTCAGTGGATGACAGAGTGGACGCTTTTAACGACCTCTTTCTAATATGTCTTGATAATCATGCCCCCATAAAAACTCTGAAACTAAAGCGCAAATCAAATCCATCCATCACTGAGATTAGGGAACGGATAAATACAAGGAGTAAGCTCCATAAGAGGGCGCGTAAGAGCGGAAGCCATGAGGACTGGAAAGCGTTTGCGGACTTGAGGCGGGAGATTAAACAGTCTATCCGGCATGCAGAAAGAGAATACTTCACACAAAAAGTTATCACCAATAAAGGTAATACTTATTCCTTGTGGAAAATCATACGTCGGGCTCTTCCCAGCAAATCTAGCCAGCGTCCTCAATATACAAGGGATACCGACGTCCTGGCGAATTAGTTCAACCGATGTTTCATCTCGGTCGGACAAGAAGTAGCCAAGAAGTCTACAGAGCTGGCCAACTACCACGGCCTACAGTACAACAACCCCACGCCGCAGGTCACGCTGACTTCACAACAGGCCCAAAGGGACGAGGGGGAAAAGTGATCTTAGACATGCCTACCGATAAGGCACCAGGCTTTGATAAAGTTCCCATTTCGGTGGTTAAGGACTGCCTTGAGCACATCCTTCCAACGCTGACTGACCTAATAAACCACGCTTTCTCAAGTTCCGTGTTTCTGCTAGCGTGGAAACAGGATGAAGTAGTCCCACACCAAAAAAAGGTGACCGTGAGGTGGCGAATAACAACCGTCCAATCACGTTACTGCCAGTCCTCTCTAAGGTAGCGGAGAGGATTGCCATGCGTCAGTTCAGTTAGTAACGGACAACATCCTTAGAGCGATGGATAGCAGGCAAATAACAGCAACGGTTCTAATAGACTTAAGTAAAGCTTTCGACAGTCTGTCATTCTACCCTCAGCAAACTCCAACTGCTTGGCACCTCAGAGAAGGTACCCCACTGGTTGAAGAGCTACCTGTCAGATAGATGGCAGTGTACTCGAATTGGAACATCATTGTCGGATTCCCTCACGATAACTCATGGGGTACCTCAAGGGTCCATCTTAAGCTCGATGCTGTTTACACTCTATATGAATGACCTTCCAACGGTAACTAAGTTCAGTAACATCGAATCCTATGTGGACGACACTAAGATCTACCTATCGTGTGCGTCTAAAGATATCCGCTCTTGTCTGCAACAAGTCGCCGAGGATCTTGAAAGTATTGCTGGTTGGTGTTGCGCAAATCATCTGCCAAAATGCCGGACAGCGGCTGCCCAACGTGGTTTCTTTTATAGGGTAGCAAAATCGTGGAACAGTCTTAGTAACAACACTAGAACTGCTCGATCACTAAGATCATTTGAAAAGCATGCAAAGGCTGAATTAGCGAAGAAATAGGATACCGGTATCTCAACATATAACTATAGAATATTAGAGTGTTAGTCGTTATGACTTTTAATTTAGTAGTAGTAATTTTAAGTTATTTCTATATCAAGTACAAGTAAGTTATTATTATATATCAGT